TTGACATCCTGACAGACGTCGTCCATGCCAAGGATCATTGCAGATCAACCCGTGAGTCGCCGCCTAGATTTGTGCCTGACATCAATGGCAATGTATAGAAGCAGGCTGCCCCCAGGAGAAAGCCTTTGCGGGAAACCGCAATCCCCTAACATCCATTATGTGCTGGCGATGCCGTGCCTTATGTCGTCGTGAGTTTCTCTTCCGTTTGTCAAACACTCGACGAATCATTTCATTGAGGATGGAATAATTTGTGAACGAACTCTCGGATTCGTAAGCGTTACTGAGCTGATTCGCCAGTCAATCAGGTTTTCAAAACGTCGGACCATGCTAATTTTTGGCCTCTAGGAATTTCTTGGTTCCTCACAAATCAGTCAATGCAGCATCTACACGGGGGCATCGATGTTTGGCGGGGCTGGCTTGCTGAAGATGACTCAAGCCTCCTGGAACTCGGCCGAATAGTGGTGGACTCGGAAGAATCGTCGGTCATCGTGCTCAGGGAGCGGCAGGGACATAATCGCACGCGAGAAGTGGGGCGTGACGATGTGTCGGGGCGATGATGCGTAGGTTGAGCGCCAAACGTGCTCGCCCATCGGTGGATCAACCACATTTTAGGAGACGGAAGAGCAGAGATCGAAAGGCTGTGATTGCGATTGGCGGGCTTAGGGCGAGATTGTGGGACGAGCTCCCCTGGTGGTGCTTTGGGATGGCCGAGAATAGGGTGGCCCCAGACTTCGGATGAATGTGATGAAATACCAAACTCTGGGCTCGGCAGCGACATTTGAGACAGCGTATCAGCTCTTGTGAACAACGTAGGCCGTATGAGTCGTTTCGAACAGTCTTGGAGGCGTATGGGGCTGAAGTCTTTTCTACCAAGCACCATAGTTGAAGTGGTCGGCAAGGAGCTCCAGACCGTCGAACCATCAACCCCTGTTCAGGAACTGCGATTGATAGCAGAGCCACGGCTGGCCTGGAACTTTCTCCCTAAGTGGCCCATGCTGCTGTCTCCAAATAATTACAGATATTTTGTCGTAGAGCTATATTTGGAAACAGAGGCGTGAGGCTGTCATAGAATATCGTGCTGGTATGGCTGGAGGTTCGATTGACGGACATAACGTCCAGATAAGGTAGGAAATTGCATTGGGCACAGGGTAGCCAATAAACAACGTTCAACTCAACAACATCATTTCTTCTTTCGTCTCGTGATTCATTCGAAGTTTTGTGGGAGACCGATGAAAAAAAAAGGCGAGCAACGGGGGAGAAAATGGCCGATGTCGAGACACGCCGTGAGCAGTTTGTTTGAGGGCAGAATGGATGGAGGTTGAGTTTGGGTGTGACGGTGTCACTAGAGAAAAGAATTGTTAGCAGGAGAAGGTATCGGTACTTCTTGCTCTTTTAGGCTACCGAAGCTAAGAAGGCCCATAAGCCAATGAGAACGGATATAGTGGAGAAGACCCCGCCTTGGCATCGTCGCAAACTCCACCCATGCGCAAGTTGCCGAAGGGGCGTTCCCTGATATTCCGTATCAGCTCCTTCTCCTGGCCTTAGCAGAATGTCTCGCGTGATACCGCAACCTTCTGCTAACGCAGTCTTAGGCCAGAATGTGGCCGGTTGCCCGTCTCACCAGGGTGTAACCAGGCTTTCAGGCCCTCCGGAAGGCGCAACAAAAAGTCACGGCCGTCCGCCTCCTACATCTTGGCACGAGCCAAGTCTACTTCCCATTCATGCACAACATGCTCTCGTTTCGCCGCAGTATCGCGAAGACTTATTCGTAACACCCTCCCTGCTTGAAGCGTCTGAAGATCCCACGCAAACCTTCTCGCTGCCAGTCTATAACATCGCCCGTGCCGCCTTGATCCCCTCATCTTGGCAAATCCATCTGAAGGACCAGGACGCTCTATCTCTCACTTCCCATCTTAAATAATAACTGACTCCACGGCCGGGACTGGAGCCTGGTAAAACCGTACATAATACACACCGTCACTCTCTTAATATTCGATTGTTTACCAGTTCTCGTACGCCAGCGTCGACCGCTTCGCCACGATATTCGCAAAAATGGACAGCTTTCTCATGGCAAGACACGGTGGCGATGACCACGGAGCGACAGGAACAGCAACTGCTTCGGATGCTATGCCGGGAATGGATATGGGATCCGGCACGATGAACGATACCCACGGCTCGACTGGCTCAAGCATGAGCATGATGATGATGACCATCTTCCAGACCAGTCTGAAGACTCCTCTCTACACCGAGGCCTGGACCCCGAACAGCGTTGGCACTTACGCCGCCACGTGCATCTTCCTCATCTTCTTGGCCTTCGGTCTTCGCAGCATGCTCGCTCTCAAGTCTATTCAGGAGAAGCGATGGTTGGACAAGGACTTCAAGCGCCGCTACGTGAGCGTTAACGGCAAGCTCGGCATGGCAGGAAAGATGTCAACGGACAGCATGGCAAAGCAAATGGTACTTTCCGAGAACGGCCTCGAGGAGAACGTCACTGTCGTCCAGAAGGGACATGGCATTTGGAGGCCCTGGAGATTCTCCGTTGATCCTGTTCGTGCTGTGATTGACACTGCCATTGCCGGAGTTGGGTATCTGCTGTACGTGTTCTTTTTCTCGCTGCTTACTTTTGAAACATCTACTAACAATTCATAGCATGTTGGCTGTCATGACAATGAACGTTGGTTACTTGCTGTCAGTTCTCGGCGGCGTCTTCCTGGGCAGTCTCGCTGTTGGCCGTTTTGCCACTATGGGCGAGCACTAGTGAATTATCAGCAGCAGTTATGGAGACAATACCGACTAGAACGATCTCCTCAATTCACTTGCTGTTGTATGATGCGGTGACTCTAGTGATGGACGGATGCTGGATCATGGCAAATAGACACGAGGAATGCGACCACGAAGGAATGGACACCGCGACAATCAACAAACTTTTTTTTTCTGTCCTTTTTTTTCTTCTTCTTTTTTTGGAACCGCATGCGAAGGAAACTATCAGGCTACTTCCGGCTGAAGATTACGCTCGCTGTGTTGTGCTGCACGAAGCAACGTTTGTACACTCAGTGGCAGCCCGCGGTTGTCAAAATTCAAGCAGCTACGATCGATAGTAGTGAAGCTGTGTGTACAGATTCGGTACTCAATATGGGGTTCCCTCCTTCTCGTCTCTTGTGGTCTCGTGGTGATAGCGCGGCAAGTACATGTACAAGGGTGCCTAGTGCCGTTCCTGGCTCGTGCAGAAACCTTCTCAAACTCCCTCAGCCCGTCGCCTCCGCCCCCCGCTTCCTGCGAGGTTCAAGTGAGACATACCAAGCCACCAAGCAAGTCTTCCTTACCGTCGCTGCCTTCGTTGCTGTGCCACATCACCTAAGCCGTCTGTCTACTCGACCTCTTCCCCTTCCGTCCAAGTCAAGCCTTCGAATACCAAATGAGTCGAGCCCAAAAGGAGCCGCATGTCGACCTGTCCGCCACGCTCGGCCAGAGATGCAACTGGAGGTGGCTATAGCCTATCAGCCCTCAGATTCTACCCCTACGAAAGTGTATCACTAAGCAGCCAGACAGGCTCACATGCTGGCAGGGTCCAATTCGAGGGGATGCAACCCAGGACGAACGATAAGATCAGCAGCCCGACCATGTTTTCTGGGACTGCACCAATAGTCGACTGTACACCCAATCACATGTTTTGCGAGTACGGATACGTTCTTATTGTTGATCAACAGGCATCCTCCCTTCGCGCTCTGGCGTCTCGAGTCGCGGTGCCAGATGCGACGTCACCCAGCGTGGCATGGCAGCCCTGAGCATGTGGAGTGTTTCCCCCAATTCCGCACTCTTCGAAGAACCCGTCCTTCCACGAAGCTTGTTTCTGCCCGTTTCATCTGAACAGCTCCCCTCCAGACTGACCTCGAAGTTTCACTGCTCCGATGCTCCGTTCCAGTCAAATTTGGTTCCTGGCCATCTTGCAGAGGGGTACGGCAACTTCCACATGGGACGGACAAAATGAATCGATGCTCTACCTCGACGAACTCTTCTCTACAGCAGAGCTTTGAATGGCCAAGACAATGACGAGGTTGCCGCATGTCTACCGGCGTTACTAGCACCAGTGTCAGAAACCGAGAGACAAGCAAGATATATTTGCACCACCAACTCCGACTGAAGGCTGTGTTTGGATGTCACAACACAAACTTGAATAGTCCGATACAACACAAGTCAGTTGAACCCTGCCATCCGTTGCATCTTAACCACCACGCTCCAATCGGGTCATGATTCACTACAAAGACGACAACAGACGACGGGAGCGCCGTGGCTGTGCGGGGCTTTCGCTTTACCCGGAGTCCACGATATCTGTGCCTGAACCCGGAGATGGGGAATCATTAGCAAGGAGACGCGGCTCAACTCCGAGCACTGTGCAATACAAAGCGACCATCCTCGAGCCTCGGGACTTTGTGGGTGTCACTTCTTTCTGAACGTCTCGAAGAGGAGTAGTTAGGACGATGCAAAGTTCTTGATTGTCCGGACTAACGAGAGCTCAGCCTAGGCTCACTACCAGAGGACGAGTCCTATCAAGAACGGGACTCCGAGTAGAGGAGGGCGCGGAGACAATCCTGGACACCATTTTCTCAAACGCCAGCAGAATCAGTCCATCATTTGCAGTGTCCGACGATACCACAGAGCCCTAGACCACCAGGAAACGAACGTGGCGAGTCCATATATCAGCCGGAAGCTTGCCACACCTCTTACTGGCCCAACCGCCGGCGAAGTGTCCCGTAATCCTGGAAATGGCCTCGGGACCGGCATCCAGTCCAGTCGAGGTAACGGGCCCTTGGGGCTCGGCATTCAACCCTGTATGCAGCGTCCTAGAGGTCGCCGACCCTGTCAATTCAAAATCAATCTCTTCCTCGTCCATCCTTGTCGACGGACTACAGAGACAGAGGGCTGGGCTGATATCCAACTTTGACCCATGTACAGCCTTATTGTGCCGTTGCCGAGATTACGGAGACGATCAAAACAGTTGCATGGCTGCTCGGCCAAGGTCGGAAGAGCTTCAGAAAATGGTCTACCTAAATCTTGGTCCGATCACGTCTGACCACATTGAAACCGCAGCGGACCGGTTCGCCGCAAATCCCGTTAAGGTCGCCAGGCCCAAAAAGGCAACGAGCTGTCCCTGCTCACGTCCAAATCTAGACAGGACCTTCTCCACCAAAAACAACAGAGATACATTTGCCGGAAAACCTCACAGCTAGATACGCGTCGTTCCAAATATGTCAACTTTACCCCGCTGTAAAAAGGTCAAAAGAAAAGAGTTGAAGCACGCAGATGCGCATGTGACACATCAAAGACTTGATCAGTCTCACTCTCCCGGTCAGTCGAATACAACTCCTCCGATCGACCCCGCTAGTTGCACACTGTATCCCCAGAAACGATTCAAGTCAAGTTTGCCAGATGAGAGAGACCGACAACGACGATGAGATAGCTGTGAACCTCATTTTCATCAACAGTCCAGCCAAGAGGGTTGTGCATCGTCCTTCGCGCCAAGTCTACGGGCTGCTCTCCTCTTCGACTCTCCGCTGGACCCCCGCAACTGGCGCTGTCGCCAAAGCCGCGCTGAGGACGTGCACCACCTCATTAGTAACAACGAGCGGAACATGAGGGCGGGCAATGCAGGCAGTACCCGTAGGTCCACAACCACTGTCAGTCCGCGCCCAGCAGTTAGGTTGCGCCGGCCGTGCCACGGGCGGGTCTATCGTTCACCGAATCACAACACGCGAGAAGGCCAAAAGCAGCATACGAATCTCTCACTCTGCCCCTTGCATCCCGAGTTCCCGCCATCCATGAGTCTGCAGTGAGTTTAGTCGCCCGTGAATGGAACCAGAGATCCGCTGTTCGACCTAATCAGGCAAAAGTTGTCGGCGGGCTATGTCAACCGCATACCAATGCGACGACAACATCCACAGTTTTGCAATGACAAGAACAAGAATAAGAGAGTGCATGTCGACAAATTAACCTCTGTCAATCAAGTGCGGTCTGGAACCTACTACCCTAGATCTTCCACCCCTCCCCTCGGACGTCAAACTGTCAACAAGTTTACCAAGCAAGCAAGCAACCGGACGGTAAGGGTTGGCTCGTTCGTACTCGATGCCCGCCCGAGCTTGAATTAATTAGGAAATTCCAAGGAGAAATGACACAACCATTTGTATGGGCAGGACAGAAGCCAAAATCTGTTGCGAAAACCTTGCCCACCGCTTGACAACCAAGCTTCGCGCGACCTTATGCTGTCGGGCAGCTGTCAAAAAACGACCCGGGCTTTCTTCCTTTCTTCCTCCCCCCCTCCTCCTCACCACCACCACCGTGGTAGGTAGTGTAGCTTGTTTGCCAGCACCTCTTTGTGCCTGTCTTTTTTTTTGTCTTTCCCCTTCTTTCGTGTGTCTCGCATTCCAGCTTTAGAGTTCAGTCACTTGTCATGTCACCATGACGGCACACCACACACTTTTACGTATGCCGCCACGGACAACTGCGCACTGCCGAACCAAACCAAACCAAACCAAAGCCGAGTCTAAATTTTTGTTTGCTTGTTCGAGTCCGCAAACGGAATTGTTCGAGGACGGACGGACGGACGCGGGGAACGGAGGAAGGAAAAGTCGAAAGATCTGAAAATGTGTAAGCAACGGACAGAAAAAGTCTCTCCTGGTCTCGACGGAAACAACCCACCACTTTTCACTTCGGATCAATCCTCGCATGATTGGCCAATAGTACGACGACCTATCTGCGCCTTCTCCTTCGACTACCTAGGATTCGATGCTCTAGGAGTATAGTGCATAGATATTGTAGACCTTTCAGATAAGCATCACTTCACAGAACTCGGCGCGTAAATTACATTTCTTCTTATAACGTTTTCACAACATTAGCAATTCGTCAGGTCCTGTCTTTCTAGTCGTGGTGATTTCTGGTACGAAGACGGGGGGAAAGGAGGAGGAATAATAATCGCAAAAGGGGGGCGCGCACGCGGATATAACTATCATACAAGGTGTATAGAGACATTTCATCCTCTCCATATTCTTAAAACTCATCTTGCGTTCTTCATCACTTCCTTGTTCCCATGAATCGGTGCATCCCCGGGCTCTCGGTGCCTGCTTATTCCCCTGTATCCCAGACTGAGACCGCGCCTGACAACAACGACAACGATGACAGCGAACAGGAACGGAAAGTGTACGGTGTGAATGTAGCTTTTTGTTGATTTGCCCAGGGCCGGGGGGTATCGTGCCGAGTCCTACGGAGAAACAGAGCCCAAAAGACATTTCCTCGCAGAGCAGCGTAGTGAGAGATTACGGGTTCTGGAGCGGACCGAGTTGGTCGCGCGACGTCTCTCTGTTCCCTCGTTGATCCTCGACTTTAATGAAATCATCACAGTCCATTCCAAAAAGATGTGCCTGCCCCAGCCGTGAGAATGTCGTGCTCTCGTGCTGAAAAAGGACCTTCCCCCTCCCGCGCCGGAAATTCCCCCACCCTGCTTCCGCAAGACAAAGCTTTCTCCAACCACACAACTCTCCCCTACCGCCACTGGAGAAGAAGGAAAAAAGAACGAAAACGAAAATGGCCAACGATGCCATACAAACTCGCGTCCACAGACGGCAAGCCGCCTGTCGCGAGGCACAGACGTGCCGCGCTCAATGAGACCGCCGCCGTCGTAATGCCACCCATACCCCATGTCTCCTGATCGCATGCTCCTCAGTGTCTCCATGTCTCTCGTTATGTTCCCCCGTGTTTTCCCCAGCTAGACAGCATTAAAATCCGCTCCGCGATAACGGTATCGCACAATAACTGTTTTCCTTGAAAATTAAATTCCAAGGACGGCCAAGTTGTGAGATGCCGGCGGAGTCGTAATAGCAAAAGGGAAATTGGGATCAAGAGAAATAAAAAGAAAACGTAGTGGAACGAGATGCAGCAATTATTCACACCGAACTGTAACGCCAAACCACCAGAGCCTCATCGCCGGGTGAAGAAATGACGAATGCCGGCGACTGAGGTCTGGGAGATGCAGGATGTGTGTCTGGTATCAACGGGAAATGCAAAAGTCACGATGAACTTGGCGATCATGACTGATGCGACGTGTGCTGGGGAAGACCAGACTGCGGCGGCATAGCGTAGCCACCACCCCGTTGTTGTTGCTGGACGTAACTCTGGTAGGCGAGCGCCTGAGAAGGGTCCATGCCGACGTTGGACATGTAGTTAGGAGGCATGTGAGGTTGAGGCATACCCTGGCGTCCAGCCTGAGGGGGCAGGTGCTGTTGAGGAGGCTCTTCGGGCGAGTCAACCTGGTTCGAGTCGTCGACGCCGTTCTCGCCGCCTTGGGATGGCTCGGGTGCATTCAGGCATGCCTGTATCGAGAGTCAGAACTGTCTTTTTTTCCCTTTGTAATTTTGCGTTGGTTCAAGCAGAAAGCGCATACCTGAATCAAGTTCTTGCCCTCAGCCTTAGTGACAAGAGGTTGCAACTTTGGTGTCGTGAAGGTGTAGACGAGACCTGTCTCGGAAACAACGAGGAGGAGCACTTGGGTGCCAGTGAGGACAGAAAGCTCATAAGCCTAGTGGACATTCTGGTCAGCATTTTGAACAAGAATCGGGCTGGTGCAGGCAGCAGCAAGTTTCCGTGGAGGATTGCTTCGACTCGGTTGGAGATAGAGGAACGATTGGAATTGTCAACGTACCTTCTTCATGATACCAGCCTTGCGCTTGGAAAATGTAATGTGACGACGAGACTTGTCGTTGATGAACTTAATCTCAATCTTGCGACGCTCGCGGCCGCCCTTCTCGTCATCATCATCGTCGTCGTCGGCGGTGCTGGGACGTTGGCGCTTGACGCCTCTGTTCTCGGCGACGCTGCCGTTGCCAACCTGCGACTCGTCGAGGTCGGTAGGCGAGGTCTGGTCGTGTTGATCGGTGATGTCGGCCATTGTGGACAAGTGCGCGGGTGTTGGATGGTATCACAAGGCAGTAAAAGGTAAAAAACGGTGGAGAAACTGCTTTGAGCGTGGTGCCGATTGATCTATACTTGATCAGGGTGGATGAGCTCTTGCTGTGTGTAGCTTGAATGTTGTCGCAGAAGGAGGCAGGTCGGAACGGGAGGTAACCTGTATTGAGTCTGGTGCGGAGCGGATGCGGTGCCTTGCGTGTGGTGGAGGTGGGAAGGCAGGTAAGGTTGACTGATTGTGAAAGATGGCAGGTAGGAGAGTTGAGTTGGTAGGGTAGGTGGTAGGTAGGTTACGCGGGCGACTGATAGCGCGGTTGCGTGTGTAGTAGTACCTTTTTTGTTTTTTTTCCCCTGCCGACCAACGGAAGCGAGGAATTTGCTGATTTAATTTTTTATTTGCTTTGTTTGACTTTTGGAGCTTCCGTGCCTGACATGCACTTGTTGCTTGTCGGTAGCCACAGCGGATAGCGGACAGGCTGAAGGAAGATTTGTCCCAAATAGTCAATAGTCGACGGCGACTATTTTTCTGACAGGCGGCGCGGGCGCGGTGGATGGATGGTTTGGTGGTGGAAGGAAGCTGGTCTTTTTTGGAGACAAGCACAAGGTAGCGTAGCGGCAGCAGGTGGGTGGTGGTGGTGGTTGTGGTTTGTTCGCAGCGGAAAGCGGGAAGGCTTGGCCTGGCGAAACGAACTGGCTGCGGTGCGGGTTATGAGCCGAGCGGATTTGTGTAGGTTTTTCTGCGGAGATGCGTGGTGCGATGGGGTGGCCGCGCAGAAAAAGGAAAAAACGCGACTCGAGTGAGAAACTTGGGTCGGGGGTAGTGGGAGAAAGAGTCGAGGTCACTCGGCGGTTTTTGGGGGGATCCCTTTTTTGACGGGGGGAGAAGGCCGAGAAGAGAGACTGGGGGTAACCTGAGAGGGGGGGGGGGGCAGGAGGGAAAGGTAAGGCCGAGAGTCCAGAGCCAGAGAGAGACGTTGGACCAAGGGTCAGTTGTCAGGCAAGACCGGGTCAGGTCAGGTACCGAGTGGATGAGGGTGAGGGTGAAGGGTGAGATGGTTGGGATGTCGTATCTCTCTCGTCCGGATTTCAATGGAATCCACGGAGCCGAAGAACGGGTTCTTGGACGCCCCCCAGAAAAGAACAGAAGAAGAAAAAAAGGGGATAAGAGGAGACGGGTATGGGTATGGATACAGATAGGTTCTCGATGAGGTATCGGGGCGGCTTGACGTACGTCGTTGGTGGTTCAAGCGATTTCCCCTGCTCTCGAAAACAAGCA